GCCGATAACCGATGCCCACTGTAAGGATTTAATGTTAAGAATTAATCTAAGTCTGCTCGAAATGCCTGGCGATGCTAGGTGTCCTAGTGGCCCCCTCTGCAATTAGTATTTTATAACATGTAAACCACACAATACCCAAAACCTGTAAACCCCACATTGTAACCCTTATAGAGAATAAACTTTAATTGAATTGAATAAGGGTTGATATAACTGATATAATGACTATGACAAGAAAGTAAATCAATATTGCACATGGTTAGGACTCAATATTGCACTGGAGCTAACATGAAAATCTTATAAAAGGCAGTAGAAAGTACAAGTATACAAAGAACTATTCTAAAAAGAAAACAGGAGTGGTTACACAGAGATTAAACAATAAATGCAAAAATATAAAATTGATAGATAGTAAAATGGTATTAAAAAAATTTTTACAGTAAGATTTGATATTTAATATTATTGGACAAATGCTAGCCACAGTTAACATTACTGGCCACCTGCTAACCAGAGTTAACATTACTGGCCACCTGCGAACCACAGTTAACATTACTGGCCACCTGCTAACCACACTTAACATTACTGGCCACCTGCTAACCACAGTTAACATTATGGCCACCTGCTAACCATAGTTAACATTACTGGCCACCTGCTAACCATAGTTAACATTACTAGCCACCTGCTACCTACAATTAGTCTATTAAAAAGAAGGTTTACTGTAATAATTACAGGTCATTACATTTACTCACCAGTTTTAGGGTAACTAGCAACAATATTGTCACTTACCAGTTTTAGGGTAACTAGCAACAACAATATTGTCACTTCCCAGTTTTAGGGTAAATAGCAATAACAATAATGTCACTTACCAGTTTTAGGGTAACTAGCAACAAAAATATTGTCACTTACCAGTTTTAGGGTAACTAGCAACAACAATAATGTCACTTACCAGTTTTAGTGGTAACTAGCAACAACAACATTGTCACTTACCAGTTTTAGGTAACTAGCAAACAACAACATTGTCACTTACCAGTTTTAGGGTAACTAGCAACAATATTGTCACTTACCAGTTTTAGGGTAACTAGCAAACAACAATAATGTCACTTACCAGTTTTAGGTAACTAGCAACAACAATAATGTCACTTACCAGTTTTAGGGTAACTAGCAACAACAATATTGTCGCTTACCAGTTTTAGGGTAACTAGCAACAACAACATTGTCACTTACCAGTTTTTGGGTAACTAGCAACAACAATATTGTCACTTACCAGTTTTAGGGTAACTAGCAACAACAACATCGTCAGACTTGAACTGAAAGTTAGGCAACTCTTGAAAAATTCCTGACATGACAAGCTGACCAGGAAAAACATGGCCTTTATATCTGTAAGAGAGACATGAGTAGAATATTTTGTTGTTATCTGGATTTTGGTAAAGCATTAATGGGGTCAAGTCTGAATGGGAACCAGTCACTAGTGACATTCCAGAAGGATAAGTTTTAGGCCCATTGCTGTTTGTAATTGACATTAATGTCCTTGATGAAGGAATAACAAGTGACATGGGTAAATTTGATGGTGACACAAAAATAAGCCAAATAATGGGTTCTGAGGAAGACACCAGTGAACTTCAGGAAAATTCAGACAAATTAATGTCATGGTCTGAAAAATGGTAGATGCAGTTCAATGTGAACAAGTGTAAAGTCCTGATCCTTGGTATTGAAAATAACCTTTGTAATTATAAACTAGGTGAAGCAGAACATTTATTATTTATTTATTTATTTATTTATTTAATGTCTTTGCAAACAGTACATTGAGATTGTGTATATACAATAGTGGGTTGCAATGCAAAGAGAGCCTCTATTATGCCTTGGCATTATGGGCCAACTTAACATTATTGGCTTACACTCTACTTAATACTAAGTAGTAGTATATCATAGTTGTACAGTAGGAAAGTAATTATTTCATAGTTGTACAGTAGAATATTAATTATAAATGAATCAAAATTTGTTTAATACAAAGATATACAGTGGACCCCCGCTTTACGATCAGCTCCCAATGCGACCAATTATGTAAGCGTATTTATGTAAGCGCGTTTGTACATGTATGTTTGGGGGTCTGAAATGGACTAATCTAATTCACAATATTCCTCATGGGAACAAATTCGTTCAGTACTGGCACCTGAACATACGTCTGGAATGAAATAATATCGTAAACCGGGGGTCCACTGTATTTATATTCTAAAATGCTTTTGTGAAAAACAATGATTCAATTATATTCCTGTCAACAATGGATAAAAGGTTCAATGTGATTGTTTCACTTATGATGTGGGAGTACATAGGTGAGTAAATGTGTACTGAGTATTTAGCATTTAGTCTAGGGTGATTAAGTGGCTTTTGAGAAGAGTCTTAAATTGATTTTCGGACTGGGTTACTCTAATATCTTCTGGTAATGAATTCCATATTTTGGGGCCCTTTATGTGCATAGAGTTTTTACACAGTGTGATATGGACACGAGGTATATCAAAAAGAGATCTGTCTTGTGTTGTGGTCATGTGTCCTGTTTAGGTTGGTGAGGAGAACTTTGAGTGGGGGGTTTATATTTGAGTGTATCGTTCTATGTATGTAGTAGGCACATGAATAAGTATGGATGTTCTTAATGGTAAGCAGATTCAGACTTTTGAAAATTGGTGGAGTATGCTGGCGGGAGTGGGAATTTGTTATCATTCTTACTGCTGCCTTTTGCTGGGTTATTAGGGGTTTTAGGTGATTGGATGTTGTTGATCCCCATGCACAAATTCCATAAGTAAGATAAGGGTAAATGAGTGAATGGTACAGTGCCAGGAGAGCTGATTGTGGAACGTAGTACCTTATCTTTGATAGTATGCCTACAGTCTTGGAGATTTTCTTGGTGATTTGTTGTATGTGTGTCCAGAACTTAAGGCTACTGTCAAGGTGGATACCTAGGAATTTTTCCTCTGTGAGTCTTGTGACTGATGATCCATTTAGTGTAATGTTAATTGGGTCATTTGCAGCTTTGTTTCCAAATTGAAATAGGTTTTATCAGTGTTCAGGGTAGGTTTGTTAGTCATCATCCAGGCAGATATTTTCTGTAATTGAGCATGACTGTGTTTGCTATTGACGCGTTTGGGGGGGAAAAACATATGTAGTGTCATCTGCAAATAAAAGGGGTTTGAGTACCAAAAGCATCACAGCTACTCAAACCAATTATTGCAGATGACACTACATTAGTTTTTTTCCCCCACCCAAACGCATCATACTAGAAAACACAGTAAAAGCTCAATTTCAGAAAATTCTGCCGGGAAGAAAGCTAACAAACCTCCCCTGAACACGATAAAACCTATTTAAAATTTTTGGGGAAACAAAGCTGCAAATCCCCAAATTTAAACATTAAAAACTAAAGGGAAATCATCATTCACAAGACTCACAGGGGAAAAAAATTTTCCTAGGTATCCCCTTGACAGTACCCTTTGTTCTGGACACACATACAACAAATCACCAAGAAAATCTCCCAAAACTTTGGCCCAAATATCAAAGATTTAAAGGGAAATACGTTCCCCCAATCAGCTCTCCTGGCACTGTACCATTCACTCATTTTAAACCCCTTAAATTTTCTTATGGGAAATTTTTGCATGGGGGGTCAAAACTTCCCCAAACACCTAAAACCCCTAATAAACCCCCGCAAAAGGGGACAAAGAATATAACAAATTCCCACCCCCCCCGCCACAAACCCCCACCAATTTTCCCAAAAATCTGAATTGCTTTCCATTAAGAACCCTCCAATTATTCTGTTCCTACACATACTAGAACATACACCAAAAATAAACCCCCCACTCAAAGTTTTCCTCACCAACCTAAAAGGACACATGACCAAAACACAAGACAGAAACTCTTTTTGATATACCTCGTGTCCCCTATCACACTGTGTTTTAAAAAATCCCATGGCCCCATAAAGGGGCCCCCAAAAAAGGGGAAATTCATTACCAGAAGATATTAGAGAAAACCCAGTCCGAAAATCAATTTAAGACTCTTCTCAAAAGCCACTTAATCACCCTAGACTAAATGCTAAATACTCAGTACACATTTACTCACCTATGTACTCCCACATCATAAGTGAAACAATCACATTGAACCTTTTATCCATTGTTGACAGGAATATAATTGAATCATTGTTTTTCACAAAAGCATTTTAGAATATAAATACAGTGGACCCCCGGTTTACGATATTATTTCATTCCAGACGTATGTTCAGGTGCCAGTACTGAACGAATTTGTTCCCATGAGGAATATTGTGAATTAGATTAGTCCATTTCAGACCCCCAAACATACATGTACAAACGCGCTTACATAAATACGCTTACATAATTGGTCGCATTGGGAGCTGATCGTAAAGCGGGGGTCCACTGTATATCTTTGTATTAAACAAATTTTGATTCATTTATAATTAATATTCTACTGTACAACTATGAAATAATTACTTTCCTACTGTACAACTAAAGATATACTACTACTTAGTATTAAGTAGAGTGTAAGCCAATAATGTTAAGTTGGCCCATAATGCCAAGGCATAATAGAGGCTCTCTTTGCATTGCAACCCACTATTGTATATACACAATCTCAATGTACTGTTTGCAAAGACATTAAATAAATAAATAAATAAATAAATAATAAATGTTCTGCTTCACCTAGTTTATAATTACAAAGGTTATTTTCAATACCAAGGATCAGGACTTTACACTTGTTCACATTGAACTGCATCTACCATTTTTCAGACCATGACATTAATTTGTCTGAATTTTCCTGAAGTTCACTGGTGTCTTCCTCAGAACCCATTATTTGGCTTATTTTTGTGTCACCATCAAATTTACCCATGTCACTTGTTATTCCTTCATCAAGGACATTAATGTCAATTACAAACAGCAATGGGCCTAAAACTTATCCTTCTGGAATGTCACTAGTGACTGGTTCCCATTCAGACTTGACCCCATTAATGCTTTACCAAAATCCAGATAAACAACAAAATATTCTACTCATGTCTCTCTTACAGATATAAAGGCCATGTTTTTCCTGGTCAGCTTGTCATGTCAGGAATTTTTCAAGAGTTGCCTAACTTTCAGTTCAAGTCTGACGATGTTGTTGTTGCTAGTTACCCTAAAACTGGTAAGTGACAATATTGTTGTTGCTAGTTACCCAAAAACTGGTAAGTGACAATGTTGTTGTTGCTAGTTACCCTAAAACTGGTAAGCGACAATATTGTTGTTGCTAGTTACCCTAAAACTGGTAAGTGACATTATTGTTGTTGCTAGTTACCCTAAAACTGGTAAGTGACATTATTGTTGTTGCTAGTTACCCTAAAACTGGTAAGTGACAATATTGTTGCTAGTTACCCTAAAACTGGTAAGTGACAATGTTGTTGTTGCTAGTTACCCTAAAACTGGTAAGTGACAATGTTGTTGTTGCTAGTTACCCTAAAACTGGTAAGTGACATTATTGTTGTTGCTAGTTACCCTAAAACTGGTAAGTGACAATATTTTTGTTGCTAGTTACCCTAAAACTGGTAAGTGACATTATTGTTATTGCTATTTACCCTAAAACTGGCAAGTGACAATATTGTTGTTGCTAGTTACCCTAAAACTGGTAAGTGACAATATTGTTGCTAGTTACCCTAAAACTGGTGAGTAAATGTAATGACCTGTAATTATTACAGTAAACCTTCTTTTTAATAGACTAATTGTAGGTAGCAGGTGGCTAGTAATGTTAACTATGGTTAGCAGGTGGCCAGTAATGTTAACTATGGTTAGCAGGTGGCCAGTAATGTTAACTGTGGTTAGCAGGTGGCCAGTAATGTTAAGTGTGGTTAGCAGGTGGCCAGTAATGTTAACTGTGGTTCGCAGGTGGCCAGTAATGTTAACTCTGGTTAGCAGGTGGCCAGTAATGTTAACTGTGGCTAGCATTTGTCCAATAATATTAAATATCAAATCTTACTGTAAAAATTTTTTTAATACCATTTTACTATCTATCAATTTTATATTTTTGCATTTATTGTTTAATCTCTGTGTAACCACTCCTGTTTTCTTTTTAGAATAGTTCTTTGTATACTTGTACTTTCTACTGCCTTTTATAAGATTTTCATGTTAGCTCCAGTGCAATATTGAGTCCTAACCATGTGCAATATTGATTTACTACTTGTCATAGTCATTATATCAGTTATATCAACCCTTATTCAATTCAATTAAAGTTTATTCTCTATAAGGGTTACAATGTGGGGTTTACAGGTTTTGGGTATTGTGTGGTTTACATGTTATAAAATACTAATTGCAGAGGGGGCCACTAGGACACCTAGCATCGCCAGGCATTTCGAGCAGACTTAGATTAATTCTTAACATTAAATCCTTACAGTGGGCATCGGTTATCGGCTGTAATCCGTTCTAGAAGCTTGGCCTAAGACCAAAATGGCTGAAAACCAAAATAATATTTCCCATAAAAATTTTAAGGGAAAAAACAGTGGCAGCCGGGATTTTTCAAACTTTCTTTTAAAATTCCGGGGGCCCCTTTCCAAAATTTTCCCCCCTTTAAAGGAAAATTAATTTTTAAATTTCCCCAAATAAAAAAAATTTAAAACATTGCCCTTTAACCCTTCCAAAAAACTTTGGGAAAAGCATTGAAACTTTAAAATTTTACTTTAAGCGGGTTTTTAAAAATTTTTTAAAAATTAAAAATTTTTTACTCCCCTTTTTAAATAAAGTTTTCTTCCGAAAATTAAATTCACAAAAAATTTTATTTTAAAAATTTAAATCCGAAATTTCCATGATTTTTAATTTAGACCCTGCTCCTTCCTGCATCCTGTTTAAAACTTCCACTCCTTTCAAACACTTCCTGCATCCTGTTTTACATTTCCCTTGGCTGCCTGTTTCACTTCCACTTTGCCTTTTTTCCCCAACTTCCTGCATGCCTGCTACACTTCCTCAAATTGCCTTTCCTCACCTTTCACTCACCCTGCTCCCTTTTCCCCGCACCCCTGTTTCACTTCCTGCTTCCTGCTACATTTTCCTACATCCGGGCTACAATTCCCTGCTTTCCGGGCTACACTTCCTCTTTTGCTACATTTCCCTCATTCCTGTACACTTCCTCATCCTGTTTAAAATTTCTGCCCCCTGCAAACATTTTCCGCTTTGCCTGTACCTTCCTCATGCCTGCTAACACTTCCTTTTTTCCCGGGCTACACTTCCCCCCAAACCTGCAACTTCCTCTTTCCTCCCTAAAACTTTTAAAATCCCCTGCTACACTTCCTCATCCTGTTTACAACTTCCTGCAAACCCTTTGCTACACTTCCTGCATGCCTGCCCCCCTTCCTCATCCCCGCTACACTTTTACATCCCTGCTACATTTCCCTCGTCCCCTGTTCACTTCCGGCATGTTGCTACATTTCTGCAACCTGCTACATTTTCCGCATGCCTGCAAAATTTTTCCCTGCATCCCGGGCTACATTTCCCTGCATCCCTTTGCTACACTTCCTCCTGAATCCTTTTGCTTACCCCATTTCCCTGCATCCCTGCTACATTTCCCACTTGCCTGCAAACACCCCTGTTTCCTCAACATTTTCCTGCATGCCTGCAAATTTTTCTGCAAGCCTGCTAAATTCCGGCATGCCTGTTTCACTTTCTAAAGCCTTTTTACATTTCTGCATACCTGCTAACTTCCTGAATGCCTCTACCCCCCCCTTTCTCCGCTACATTTCCTCCCTTTGCCTGCACATTTCCTGCTTTGCCTGCAACATTTCCCTGCATCCCTTTACTCCCCAAACTTCCTGCATCCCTGCTATTTTTCCCTGAAAGCCTGCTACACCCCTTTCATCCCTTTCAAAAAAAATTTTCCTGCAACCTGCTACATTTTCCTGCTTTCCTGTAAAATTCCTCATCCTGCTAATTTCCTGCTTTGCCTGCAACATTTCCTCCCAATCCCTTGCTACATTTCCCTGCATCCCGGCTCCCTTTTCCCTGCATGCCCCCTACATTTCCCTGCATGCCTGCTACCTTCCGCATGCCGCTACCTTCCTGAAAGGCCCTGCTACACTTCCTACATGCCTGCTACACTTCCTGCATCCCTCTACATTTTCCTGCTTGCCTGCTCCACTTCCTAATACCTGCTAAAAATTCCTGATCCTGCACACTTTCCTGAAACCCTTGCTACATTTCCTGCATCCTCTAAAATTTCCTCATCCTGCTACACTTCCTGCATCCCTTTGCTACCCTTCCGGGAATCCCTGCAAACATTTTCCTGCTGCATGCAAAAACCCCTACTTCCCTGCTACATTTCCCTGCATACCGCTAAAAACTTCCTGCGCCTGCTACATTCCACATCCCTGCTACACTTCCTGCATCCCTGCTACACTTTTGCATGCCCTTTTTGTTTTACATTTCCCTTTGCATCCTGCTAAAATTTTCCTTAAAATCCTGCTACCTTCCTGCATGCCGGCTACACTTTCCTGCATCCCTGCTACATTTCCCTTTCATGCCTGCTACACTTCCTGCATCCTGCAACCCCACTTCCTACACCCCCCTTTTTGCTACACTTCCGCATACCTCTACATTTCCTGCATCCTGCTACATACCTGCTACTTTTTCTCATACCGGTTTAATTTCCTGCATGCCTCAACCTTTTTTAACCCCCCCCTTTGAATCCCTTTGCTACATTTCCCTGCATGCCTGTAAACTTCCACATCCGCTCCACTTCCTGCATCCTGCTACCTTCCTCAATCCCCTGTTTACTTCCTACTTTCCTGTTTTACACTTCCTGCTGCCTGCTAAAATTTCCCGGCATGCTGCTACACTTCCCTGAAATCCCTTTTTTGCTACAACTTCCTGCATGCCTGCTACCCACTTCCTCTTTGTGCTACATTTCCCTCTTCCCTTTTACATTCCTGCTTTCCTGCTACCTTCCGGGGCATCCCTGTTACACTTCCTGCAGGGCCTGCAAATTTTTCCTGAAAGCCTGCTACACTTCCGCATCCCTTTCCCCAACCCTCTTTCCCTGCATGCCTGCTAAAACTTTGAAATACCTGCTACATTTCCCTTTGCATGCCCGCTTTTTTCCCGAAAAGCCTGCTACCCCCATTTCCCAAACCACCCTTACAATTCCCCGGGCCATCCCTAAAAATTTTTCCCCTCCCAGGGACCTACCCCTTTTCCCCTTTTTTTGCCGGGCTACATTTTCCTGCATCCCTGCTAAAATTTCCCTGCTTTTTTGCCTGCTACATTTCCCTGCATGCCTGCTACACTTCCTGCATCCTCACACTTCCTGCATCCCCTGTACATTTCGGGCAACCCTTGCTACCCTTCTGCTTACCTGTTTAACATTTTCCTGCATCCCCCTGCTACACTTCCTGCTTTTCCTGTACACTCCCTGAAAATGAAGCTCCCCTCCCTGCATCCCTGTTTACACTCCCGCATGTGATACACCCCTGCATCCCTGCTACACTCCTGCACCCTGCAAACATTTCCCTGAAAGCCTGCTACCCCCCTCACCCCTGCAAACTTTTACAGGGCCCCTCTGCAGTGCTTTCATGCCGGGTACACCTGCCCCCTTAAACCTCTGCAGGGCTGCTACCCTCCCGCATGCCTGCAAACACCCCTCATGTGTAAACCCTGCTTTTTTTGGGAATTAAAATTTCCCTGATGCCTGCTAAAACCCCTGCATGCCTGCTACATCCCTCATGCCTGCTACACTCCCTGCATGCCTGCAAAACCTTTTTTCCTGTCCTGCAGTGCTTTCATGCCTGGTACACCCTTTCCCGGCCTGTTCACTCCCTGCATGCCTGCTACACTCCCTGCATACTGCTACACTTATAGGCATCCCTGTTTACATCCCTGATGCCTCTACACTTTCGCATGTGTGCTGCACTGCTTGCATCCCTGCTCCACTCCCTGCATGCGCTACACTCCCTGAATCCCTTTGCTACACTCCTTGCATGCCTGCTACTTTTTCTGCTGTCTGCTGCACTGTGAAAGCCTGCTAAAACCCCCTGCTTTCCTGCAAACATCCCTGCATCCCGGGTACACTCCCTGAAATGCCTGCAAAAACTCCCTGCTTTCCTCACACCCCCTGCATCCCTGTTTACCACTCCCTGCAGCCTGCTACACTCCCTGCTTGTCTCTACAATT